GCTCCTCCTCCTCGGAGCTCTCGACCTTACTGTGTCTTTCTTCCTTTATGCGCAGCGCTTGGTCCCTTTCACTTTCACCGGACTCGTACGCTACCATGAAAATGAAGTTTCGACGTTTCGGAACGCCTTTTCACCTTGAGCCAAAACACGTCAAGAGTCACGTGTCTGCAGTACTCTAGCGGAGTATTTATGGGCTGTACATGCAAACATTAATAAAATATTATATATACTTTATAATGTTATATTAGATGTAATATATACATATGTATGACATTGTATGACTGTATGTATGTAAGCACATGATCCTTCAACAGCCAACATCCGGCCATCTGGGCCACCCGACATCTGCTCTCCCCAAGCCTGGAAATCATGGGATGTCTTCTTCGTTTGGATGTGCAGTTCGCTCCGAAGGCGGTCCAGGAAACCACCCTTGTCTTATAGGAAATACCCGGGGCCCAGTTGAGTACCGAGCAACAAGGTCACCGGAAAAAACAAGTGAACCTTGAAGCTGGACCTGTACACTGACGCCCGAGTCGGAAATCCCTGGCGGATCCAAGGTGAAGCGAACTTTCCACCAACCTGTTGGGTCTTGAGTGGGTGGAAACCAATCCCTTCCGAAAGCTTCTCCACCTTAGGTACATGTCCTCCCAACTCCACCGTGACGTTCTCCGTTGTGTTCCGTGGCGCCCCCGCCTTCACCTGGAAGTGGCGCCCCTCCAGCGCCGTCTCGACGGCGGACGGACCGCGCGGCACCTGGCACCGGGGGGACCCTGGTTTACCGAAAATAGAGTGGACGACTGGGGAGGTCAACCTACCAGAGGGTTTAGGGTTCTGGGGTGATCCACCACCATATGGCCAGGCTGAACCAGCAGGCAAGTTGAAGGCTCATGTCCGACATGCCCTGGTTCTAGAAACGGCCGCCGTTCTAGTAACCGGAAAATGGAGATCTTGGACACAGAGAACCGAGCCAGGACTTGCCGGGACTGACCCCCCGGTTTTTGGACGAACCACCACCCAACAAATGGCCTCTTCCTGTCAAAGACGTTCTTGCAAGGGTGCTAGTTCGCATGTGTGTTTTTCCTCACAAGGGTTGGTTGAGGATGCTCCTTTTTGAGAAAATCTCAACAGTAAGTGCTCTATGGGCTTCATATAGTACCGTATTGAACCCCAAGTAGAAGCAATTCGGCTGAAGTGCCTGTGCAAGTGGCGACAGACGACTTCCGCCTCTTGGAGTCTTCATGCACTTCGGATGATGTCACCAAGATTCCCCCAGCTTAGGGGGGTGACTTCAGCTCGAAGAAGCTGCTTGGGAAGACTTCAGTTGTTTGATCCATCATTCATGATCATGGATCCAACACGGAAGTGGATGGAACACGGACTCTGGATCAAGCACGGGGGCTATCTACTTGCATGTGCGCCAGGGTCAAAACTCCTGATGTGTTGTAATTGGATGTACAAACGTCCAATCGAACCAAATGACCGTTCTCTTTGGCCACAACGAAGTGTTTCGACCGCACATGTTTGCTGGGGAGGGGAGCCCCAAAGCATTGAAGCCCTAAGAATCGTCTCAAGTCTCAGGCTGATGCAGTTCGTCTCAAGTCTCAAGAAACTCCCCTTGAAGACTCACATGCTTGGTGAAGGTGATTGTCGGGTCCATCTTCGGTGAAGGTTTCGGGTCCCCCCCCTGGGCTCAAACCCCGAAAGACCCATGCGGCAAATAAGATCTTCCATTTCTCGTCGTTCTGCGGCAGCCGCGCGGATTTGCTGCACTGCCAAAAAGTTGCTTGACAAACTCAGCTTGCTTGGATGGGTCTCTGTAAACAGCACGCATGGCAAAACAATGACGCTCGGTCTGGACCTAGGGAAGCTCCCACCATGGGGAAGCTCTTCCTGTAGTCAGTATATACGTAGTGTTTTGTATGCTCGATCAAGGATGCTGGGGATTTATGGATCAACCTCCGTCTGAGTCCTATGGTTACAGTATGTTACAGTTGAAATGTTGAACAATCCCTGTGCAAGGCAGTGCAGCACAAGCTAGGATCAGCTGCTCGGAACCATGTGCGCAAAAAAGCAAGTGACAAGCAATCGCAGTGGGAAGCACGGCCCAGTGTGAACCAAGCAGGTACTGGGATGAGTATCCCCACTTCGTTACAGGTTCTTTCGAGATTGATATCTGGACCGAGTGGCAAACGAGAAAGGACCGGTGAACAAACACATATTGGGCGTCGGCGTGATCTATTGGAGCACAAAGGGTCCTCGTAAGAGCCCGTGGGATTGATGGGAAACGTCTCCTGCCCAATGCAAGAGGTTCTTCAGACCAACTTCCGCCCATTTCAACCGGCAAAGCACCACAAGATTGTCAATGCTGGTTCTGCTGTTGTGGCCAGATTCTGGTGCAGAATCGCACGAACCAAAACGCCTTCAAACTTCAATATGTCTCAAGGTTTTCGTTGCTGAAGGCTCGTGCGGCAGAAAGGCTTGGAAATCCAGAATTAATATCCTTGAGTGTGATTGGACATCAAGACATATGATATCATATCATCGATGCTTCAAAAAAAAGACGAACGCGTCCAGCACACATAAACAAATGCCCTCATGTCTGGGAGCTTCGGCTCTCAAGTCCCGACAAAAACATACAAAGACCGACCATGAAAAAAAATCCTATGGATTCCAGACTCTGGACAATTCCTATGCTTCGAATCAGGTCCGGTAATCTAGCTTCTCATTCCGATTTGGCAACTGGACGCGTTGAAGGGGATTTCAATTCAACATGACCTCGATCCTGCTGCAGGTTCCCAGCGCGACAGCTGCCGTGTCTGACTGTCTCTTGGCCTGGCGGTGTAAGCCCAAGAGCAGCAAAGAAGGAACCCCAGCTACAGCCCCTTTATTTCAATGAGCTTTTGCTATTCCATGTTACAATTAAAACAAAGGGGTATGAGGGACAAAGTCTGTAACGAAGGACAGAAAGAAGCCGTTCATTGGATGTTCATTGGGACTGCAGCGCCACGGACTTCCCACACCGAAGGTGCTCAGACCACGTGCAACGCTGACCAAGTCAGGTGCACTGCGCGGCACTCATCAGTGAAGAAGGGCCCTGCAGACCTCTGGTCGCGGAAAGAGCCACCGTCAACGCCATCAAAACGGAAGTTGGCCCAATCACTGCCAATGACTTCGTTTCACATCAAGCCTCTATCGAGAACACGCATGCATTCCTTCGGGCTTCCCAACACGGCGTCCCTTGTGATCATCTTGGCTGAACAAACACGGCGTCCGTCCGTCGACCAGCAGTGTTCCCATGCCTCCTCTCAAGTCTCATCGAAAGGCTTCACCTCCACCCACCTCATGCACTTTTCTTCATGCTGTTCGCGCGACTTGCGAAGCCGTCGGTGCCCCGGATTTGCCCACAAAAGGCGACCTCCTGCACCCCATGAAGCTATCTATCAACGGGCGGCTTTCACGGAAAATTTGGGTTGGTTGATGTGTGGTGTGTCTAATATTGCTTCTTACTTTTTCGGCTCATGTTTTAAGTCCTGCAGAACTGTGGCAGGGTTGATTTGGATTCCATACTATCTTCCGGGAGCAGATGGACCCTTTAGGCAAGCCAAGGAGCGATTCAGAGGAGCCCCTGAATTGAAATTTCCCTGCAGGATATTGGAACAACACAAAAAAGGTCCAGAGGCTTTGGTGATGTGGCCTTTACAAGCTCTGTCAAGCCTGGGTGTATATGTTTGACGTGTAGCCACATTAGGTTGCAAAATGAGAGACCTGACGGAAGTGGATATTACACTGACAACTGTTGTCCTGTTGATAGACAAACCACGCTTTCCTCTCCAACACGTCCATCATTTCCTATACGGTACGGTACTGTATACCATGGGCAGTATTCCCTGAGATACGATGTGCGCTTTGACAGATGGAAACATGGACATCTACAGGGACCCCCGCGCAAAACGGACATTGAGAGACTAGACGTACATATTTTGTACGTTTATAGTTCTTTGGTTATGGCTCAGAAGCCCAAAATAACTATCTACTTTAGAGTGCGCGCGTGTGTGTGTGTGTATATATATATAAATATGACATATGATATATGGTATATATATATATAGTTGGAACACTGCCCATAGCGGGCCTTAGTGCTTTTGATCTTTTTCGGACATGTCATCGGTTCTTCGTGATAAACCTGGGTTCTGGGGGCTGGGATAATAACGTCCGTTGTGGATGCAGGATATGTTCTTAATCATCTGTATTCCCCGGAAAAGTACTTGCATATTCCTTCAAGGAATGTCATTCATTGGTGTGGTTTGTTCACAATACGGTGTTGGATTCTGATCGTGGTTGGGCAACTGGGAAGCTGTTTTGGGTACCCGTGTTTGGTTGTTTGAACTCCGGTGTAGAACCTGGACAAGTTTCAGTAGCTGTCAACAACAACGGTTTGCACCTTTTCTTTTGGTGCTGAGCCGTCTGTTGTTGGGGTGTGTTGTTTGCAAGTGTTGTGTAGCCCTAAAAAACTTGCAAAACTCGATAGTTGGGGGCAACTTGATTTGAATGTTGAAGTACACAGGAAAATTGTTTCCCGATGTAATTACGCCATTCAATCCTTGAAAAGGCTGAACGAATCTTCCCCAAGCTAATTACGTGCATCCCAATAAGGATGGTGATCAGAATTGTCATTTCGCACCACGCCGCGTTATGGGCGATGGACTTAGCTTGTATGTGTTTTGTATCAAGTTACTTTTTCCACAAATTACTTCACCCTGGAGATGGGCCGACTCACTCAGAAAGGAGACCATTGCAAGAAAATAGATAAGCCAAAAACACATAGAGCAACACAACCTACTTACATTAGTACCCACATGTGCCCACCCATTTGGCATATCCAGGGCATCACAAGGACGACGACTTGGGCACTGCCAAGGCACCCTTGCCCGTTCTCCAAAGTCCGCTCCTCCACCAAAGTGCTCTCGTTGGCCAACAGCCGGTCGATGGCTTTGGCAAACTCATGGTGGATCACCAGGTGTGTTGAGGAACGGATCCTCAGCATGGTGGATCACCAGGGTGTTTGAGACTCACATGGAACCGGGCGAACGGCATGGATGAACATGGACCAAACTGGAACACGGGTTTCCTCTACAACCCAATGACTTTGTTCCATGTGGGTCTGTTCCAGGGCGTCCGGAGAAGATGTTCCATTTGATCCAAATGGGCTTTCGGTCGGCTTGGCGAACCACGAACCGACGATGTTTGCCTCGAGTCGTGGCGCATGAACACCGCATGAACATCGTCCGCTCCGGCGAAAAAGGCGTCATGTTCAGAATCCAACATAGGTTCATTGGAATTCAGCAGTGGTTGTTTGAGGTCATAGACAACCCGGAAAGCTGGGCGACAAGCATCAATAGCAAACCCCTGCTATGTTGTCTGCCGGAGTGTTTTCTAGTAGCCTGAAAACATGGCTAGCTGGACTTTAGAAGAACTCGAGTTGCGGGTGGCCAGAGTGAAAGAACCCGTCGACCTGCTTCCCCTGCTTTACCCACCGAATCCAACCAAGGAGCTCCACCAATTTCCTGAGATCGTCGCTTCATCCGGCGACGTCCACGGCACGTCGTCGGGTCGCACGGCTCGGATCCCTTCGTCGAATGGTCCGGGGGGATCGACCTCTTGGTGTCACTGGGCCGCTGGAGGGCTCGATGTCGTTTCTCGAACGGTGCGAAGACAACCACCGATGGATGGAAGCCGGTCCGCCAATGACCGTGGTGCAGTGAGAATGGCATGGGACAGGAGAAGCGAGGAGGTGTCCTTCGGATTCCCATGGATTGCATAGCGAAACAAGCGAAACAGCAGAGCGAAAGTCAGCGAAAGCGTCCGTTTCAAATTGATTCCTATGCACAAAAGTATTTGTGTGCCGGCCACATCGGTGGACAGGATGAGGTTTGAAGCATCGCTCCGTCAACAAGGACCCTTCAGGACCCTTGTAGTACCACCTATGACCCCAGCGATGCGCACACCTACTAGTAGCGATGCCCTTGTTACTAGTAGCGATGCACCATGTCCATAGAAAAGCCTACTTGCTGCGTTTGGCTACGCCAGGAGTCTTGAACACCGGAGCAGCCACCCTCTCTGTGATGTTCTTCTTGCCCTGATCAATATATCGAGGATTGAGATCTCCGATTACGACCGTGCGGAAGCCACCGAGCAAGTCCTGAGTGACATGTCGTTGAGGAGATGCAGGTCAGACAGGTCCGTGGGGGAGAGAGGTGGTCGACAAGACAGGTCCTGTTGACCGGTTCGGCCGCCGTTTTGGCACTCTGGGCAGATCCGGCCAGCTGCCTACGACCGGGTGCTGTTAGGACTCCCCTTCAGATCCGAGATGCTAGACTTACACCCTGGAAGAGACCCAATTGGAACCTGAAAACCACTGGGTTGGTCTTCGGACACATCCTCTTCCAGTCTGGTCGCCGTTCCGGTCGACCGGTCTCACCGGGTGGAACCGTCGAACCGTTCCAAGACTCCCTGAGCTCATTGTTGCTCAGGAGGTTGCGGATGGTCTTTCCGTGCGCCGTCGCCTCGGAGGTTGTTTTGCTGACGTTGGATGTGGCGTGTCGTCTTAGAGGTTGTGGGAGGGCTTGTGGTGGGAGTTTCAGGCTCAAATACATCCAAAGACTAGGAAACGCGTAACATACATCACCAAAACCATCCAAAACTAATGTTTTCACCTGCGTTGTTTACTTGGTTGCTAGCAATCGGACCGCATGACCGTTGGCCAACGAATAGGGTAACTGTTCAACTGTTCATCTATTTCTTCATAGATCCCTGTTCGACTGTTCTGCTACATAGCAGCAACTGAACTTACCTTTCCATTTTTTCGCTACAAAAGGCAGTTGCAGCCACTTTGTACCAGTGACTATCACCATCACCACTGCAATTTTACTTGAGCTCCAAGGCTTTGTGCTGCAGAATTCTGGTAGACAAAGGGCATGACTTTCCGAGTGTGTCTTGACTGTTTTCCCAGCCTCCTTCACGCTTAACTCGCTATACGCGGTCGGTGGACGCCCAAACACTCCTTCACTCGCGTTGTCCGTCCGTGTTGCACGCCGAGGCTCCAGCAACTGCACGCCACGCTCGCCCAGAGTCCGGGCCGCCAGGGCTTCCATTTCGGTGCCAATCTCATCGACCACCAGGACCTCGCGGAGAAGAGAACGTGGAGAAGGCACGAGTGGTAACCTCCAGTCGGCGGAATCTACGGTAGCTCGCGGGAAGGTGGACTTCTATTGAACTGTTGAAGATAAAGCTGGGGTTGAAGCATCACCATAACGTTTAAAAGACAATTAATGAATTCGAACGATGTGGGGGTCTTTTCTTTAGTAGACCCCCACATTCAAAGAATTTTTGGACTCCTGTGCTGCAGGAGTTATACTACAGAGCTTGGGTTCATGTGATTCTTTGGCAGCCATGTTTGGCGAGCACTTTCTTTCCCTCAAGATACATCATGGTACATCCCATTTTAGAACTAGCAGCTAGCATCATACTACAAATATTTTGGACCCCCTGGAATCGCCTGGAATCTGCTTTGAGCCTTAGCAGACAAATGCATCGCCAGTTGCGTGATGTCGGATCTGATATAAACTCACCAAACAAGGCAATGAGTATCAATGAGTTACATGCAGGTTTACCTGGCAGCTCTTTTCCAGAGAAAAAATCGGGGACATGCCTGAAACCTGGTTAAACCCCCGTTCGTCTCCCTCCTCCCTGGCCTCCCTCGCTCCGAATCGCCCCGCCTGGCAGCCCATGTTCTCCACGGCGCGGCCCATCGCCAAACGACGCGCTGCACTTCGGTCGGTGTCCTCGACCGAAAAGAAGCGAAGGACCGGCGAGGGGAGCGGTCGGGAGAGGAGCGGTCGGTGGTTGACTGACTCAGAAAGCGCACTTCCCTGGGCAAAAACACCACAACTGTCTTGTGTATCTTGTGTGTTTCCTAGCTTCCGGTGCCAGGACAGTGCCTGGCATGCTGCCATATCGATCATATCGCATCAGTACATGATCAGGTTGGATTCAACTCACTCCTGGTCCGAGTAGGCTGCTTCCTTCCTCGATCGGCCCACTGCAGGATGACATGAATCTCCGGAGCCGGCAATTTCACCGGTGGGGTCCACGATCACGGTCACCTTAGCCGCCCAGCTCAGGTTTTTTCCGGCACAAGCATCCTGAGGTAGATCGAAGGTCCGTGGAACAAGATGTGAGGTGCATCGAATTTACTAGAAAAGTCCAAAATAATTGAAAGAAAACAATAACATACATTAATTAAGCAAACAAATAAATTCAAAAAAACAAATCCAGAGTCAAAGAACAACAATTGAAAACACGATCAATCTAGTCTAGAATTGGTTTGTCCTTTCTTTTGTGTGGTTCGGAGTCCTCCTTTCTGATTGAGTCTTCTGCTGAGCCTTGTTTTGTTGTTTTTCATGATCGTGAAAATCGTGATCACAATTCAAGAGCCTGTGCCGGTGCCTCTAACCAATCCTCTGGTGATCCTATTGTTGTGTTCGACCGACTGAGCCGCATACCTATACATAAATGACATACATGTAATATAATATGTGTATACCCGATTCAATCTACTGGAAGTGCATGAAATAACATCGGCAAGAACAATCGATGGCAACCCAAACTACAGCCGCAACAACAATGAAAACGGTTTGACATCCGCAAACAAAGGGTCCACCTCAACTCAACATGGAAAGGGACTGCCGGCGTTTGAACAAAAATAGTAAAAGGATGTAAAAACACTAGCACTGTTCTGTTCTTCGTTCGGGGACCATCCCATTCCTGTAATGCACCCGCATGGGGAGACTGATCCATATGTTGCACAACTTTTCAATCAAGGCCACGTAATCCTGGGAGATGCTGTCGGACATGGCGCGCAGGAGGGTGGTTTTGCCGACACCAGGTGGTCCCAGCAGCAAAATGGGCGTTTGCTCAGCAATGATGTCCTGCAATGTTGGCTCGACTCCTACAATTCTCGGGCTTACCCACAACAACGTAGAGGTTTTAACTCACCTCGTACAATAGCTCGACATAAATATAGTAACTATTAATGAATGGTACAGTCATCGAAACCACCCATCGATCTGGAGGAAGCCACGAGGCCACACCACCAAGGCTTGGCCGCAATTGTCTTCCCACAAATCCACCCACGCCGGGCGAGGGAAACAAAACCAACCCGAGCCTCATGGCTGGTTTCGTCATGGCACCTCCCCCACCATGGGAGCTCGGTGGACATCCCGAATCGTATGGTAGGAATCGGTTCCTTTTCGGTGGGAAAAAAACCGGGTGCCCAGGTGCACCAGACCCACCAATCCTCCCGAAGCGGCGCGGGTGGGTTAGAAGCACGCGTCCTCCAGAAGCGCGGCCAGCCTCCGGGACGCACGGCCGACTCCTGGGCCGGTGGACGGCCGCGGTCGGTCAAAACCCTGACTATACAAATGGGCACGAATTATACACAAATGGGTAGTACCCCCACACACGAAACATAACATAACATAGCATGTCATACATAACTTATGATGTAATCCCAATCTAAACGCTGCGCCACGACGTCCCAGCATAGTCCTTGCAAAAGAAGTGTTTCCGAATGTAAACGCATTGATTCTCACAACGGTTTGATTTACCTCCAAACACTGGAACCTACAGAGTTCCCTTGGGGGAGCATAAATGGCCACATATCAAATCGCATTCTTGGAAATAGTAGATCCCCAATGTAATCGCATCGATGTTCTTTAGCTCTTTCAACGTGGTTTGGATAGAAAGCTATGTTGGATTGTATAAATGCGAACGAGGTAGGGGAACGAGGTATGAAGGAGGTTGTTAACGAGGCCTTTTGCAAGGAGTCACCGGCATAGCTGCGCTGTTATCAATCCATGTAATAGTTGCACAAACCTCTGAAGAAGTAGAAGGCAAGCTAAACACAAGTCTGTAAGAAAGACATATATATATATATATTGTATACTAGTATATACTACAGTAATCTTGAAAACATGCACAAATCGCTTCGCCAAGCAAAACGCAACAACTGCCACGACTTCCACAAGTTCATTTCCCAAGCTAAACCCAACAAGAAACACAAAACGCAACGACTTTCACATTTGGGTGCATATAATATATACACGTACACTCACAGGAAAATAGCCTGGTGTAATGAAGGATCGTTAGTTCATCTCATGCAAGCGCTCATCTGGAGGTTGGGAATTTTGGGGCTCAGGGATCATGCAATCGTACATCTACAGTAACTATCTGGGACTTTGACCTCTAGCAAAATGGAAAGAGTGAAAACCCTTAAACCAGGGGCGATGTCCTTTTCAGACTAAACTTTGAAAAGCCTGGAGTGGTAAATCACAATGCAGCTCTACAGCATTGTCCGAGCTAAGATGTAAACAGCATCTCACCATGAACAAACCCTACCCTCGTAAACAAACCACAAAATCACCAAGAGGGGCTCTTCTAGCACAAAATGCCAATTGGTCCTACCGGTTACGTCCGCTTCAGTGTACCTGCCCTCCAGAAGCTAACATATGACATAGGCAGTTCAAAAGTATGTAAGATCGTGGATTCTGTCGCAGCTACATAAAACCCTCATGTTGCTTAATGATTTTGTGTGACTGTGAAGACATCGCTGCCTGGCCAAAAAGATCCTACAGTACTGACCAAAAGACCCAGAGTCATGACCGTGTTTTTGCAAAACATCGCGTCACATCATCATCATCATCATCATCATCATCATCATCATCATCATCATGAGTTCGTCCGATCCAAGCATCGCAATGTCATAGAGACCACATCCCCTTGGCCATTGGGCGTCCGGGAGATTCGATGCAAAGTCCCATCCAGGCCAGCACGGTCTTGCTAATTGAACTTCTCCTGTCGAAGGGATCGGGTCGGCCTCCTGCCGGTTATTCGAACTGGCATGCCAATTGATAGCGACAGGAACGGTGACCAATACTTGTTTAGAGTGTATTCACTTCTCTATCTATTTGGAGGTCAATAGTCATAGCTTTTCTATTTGTATGTTTTGAACCAGGAAAACAGCTCCAAAGAACCTCCTGACTTCGCACTGTGTGAACCATCGGTAACCATCACCTGACCCCACACCTCAAAATTGGATATATATATATATATATATTCTTTTTTCAGCTCTTTTCCTCTCTCGGGACCGTTAAAGCGTGCCGCGTGCCTGCTCATCAAGCTGCACGGCTTCCCCTACCTCGTCAGGTACATGGAAAGCCTTCCCAAGGCTTGGCCAATGGGAAGCCCTCCGGCGAGTGCGAAGAAGTCTCATCACCCCAATAAATGCATTCTGAGTCTTCCAAAGAGGGCAAACTCCATCCAGCTTGCCCTTCTCAATGTCGATTTGCTCGTGGTCCATCACGGAAGGTATCCACACATACCAGCATCGCTTGCTGCGCGCCCGGCCAAGCATCTTCTCATAGGCCTCTGGGGTCACTTTCCTCAAGGTTTCCAACAGCTCATGGCCCACTCTCTGCATTGGCCATCGGACTACGAAGCCCGAAGGATCAAAGATCTCACCAAAAGGAGGTTCGTAGAAGTCGTTCAGCAAAACAGGAACGCAGTCGGCAAAAAGAACTCTGAAAAACCTCGACGACCAGGCAGACTTGCCCCGTGGAACAAAGCAAAATTTTGAGGAAAGCGCTCCAAGAGCTGCGTCCATGTAGGGGACATCTTGCCGGATATGAAGATCTGGCTCGTGAGCCATCGCAAGGAGTGCTACTCGAGGGGAACTTGCATTCATACCACCCTGAGCGTTATGCAAGGGTCGGTTCCATCCCACAAAATCTGCCAGGTACTGTCGCTCAGTTGGTGCAGATTTGGCCCATCGAACTTCTGCCAAGGAGATTCTCCCAGGAATCAAAACGTCCTTCCAGGCGGAAAATCCGGGCGTGGTGATCTGTTGGTATGGATTCCACAGCTCGGTTTCCGTCATCAGGAAGATCGCATCTTCGATGTAGCGACGCCAAGAGCGGAAGGGGCCATCCACCCCGAAGCCCCCCCCCCCAAACGAAGAGATGGTCTCGACCATCTGAGCGTGGGAAATGCTGTAAGCGTCCCACCAGACTCTGGAAGAGTGCGTTTGAGTCCTCCTCGCTGAAGGTCTCCACATTGAGGTGACAGGCCGTGTAGTGTGGCACGAAGAAGAAGTCTGCCTCCAAAGGGTCTTCGGTGCGGCAAGGACATGCAAGGAACCACTCGTGCAAGCCAACTTCGAAGCCCCATTGGTTCTCGCGACAGAATGATGCTCCTCTCGCCAGCACGCCGAGCTCAAAGTAATCCTCCACATCATAGACGTACACTCGCACAGAATTCTTCATGCTGATGCCAGGTTCTACCTCGTCTGTCCCCAACATGGTAAAGGCATTGCCAATGTAGCTCTCCCCAGCTTCATTTTTCCACGAAGTAGTGGTCCTGTTGGCTGAAGCCACGGCCAGGCTCCGTCGAATGGAATCCATCTCAGCGACTGTCACAGGCCATCGTGTTCCGTTCGCAGTGATCTCGTCGAACTTGTCCGGATGCATACTCGACGCAAAGCCGCTGAGAAAACGGGTCATGTACACAGCGGACTCCCAGCTGCGGTCCTCTTCCCAGGAAAAGCGCACCAAAAGGTGGAGAGAGGCAATCACGCCAGGCAAGCAGTGTTTGGCTTCTTCGTCCATGATCTTGGTCTTCATCATGCCTCGAGAATTCATCCACTCGTAGGCCAAGGTGGCAGCATCCTGCCACTCGATGGCTACCAAGGCCATCAGCTGAGAACGATACTCCGACCAGCCCGGCGCCTCTTCACACGCGGGGTCCTCGAGGGCATGAGCTGCTTCGGGCCTTTCCGCAAACGCTGGATCGTCGGCCAAGGTCAGCCCATCTCCGATATGCTCCTTATTGACCTGCTTTTCACCTGGATCAAAGGCCGGATGATTGGCTGAAGCTGTCGACAAAATGGCCCAAGCACTCACCCAGAAGCCCCACTTGGATTTTGCACAAATGCTCAGTTGCTTGCATCTCTGCTCTGCAGTCGACATCGAGCGCTTAAGAAAGCAAATGGATGCAACAAATTCTTGGATATATAAACAAATATATGTACTGTACTGTACTGTAGTGTGTATATATATATATAGAGAGAGAGATATACATATGCTCGTATCATATCACGACTCGCATCTCAAAATGAGAGGGCTGACGATCCATTCGGCAAAATCCAACCTCATCCACATGTCTACATACTTGTCCCTTGTCCTGGCATGCCTGGGAGTCTCCCAAGCTGTTGAGACCCCTTAAACTCATCTGCACGTTCACACAGCAGTTGCGAATTCATGCACTGTAGGCTTTTCTCAGGATGGAAGTGATATTGAGCCGGGTTGGAACCTTTGAAGAGTCATCTGTCACTCAAACAGCAAGCTGATCTTAGAGTGCTGATCAACCGGTGAAGCATTCTAGCTCCTAGTCAAAGAATGCTGAACTGAACCCTGAAAACTGGCCTACTGGCCAAACAAAAACTCATGAAACTGCTCATAAAACATGGGCTCCTCACCGACGTGCTTCAAGATGTGGCTAAAATGATCTTTGGTCACTTTGCAACCAACATCATCAATCTGCAAACCTGCCGGAGGCAAGTTGGCCGTTCGTAAGGCTGAATATCGGTTGTCGCTAAGGTACGTCACATGGAGGCCTGCACAGGTGCTCGCTTTTGCAATAACGTTTACATAATATTCCCCTACCAAACACCAGGGTACCCTTGTAGGTCTACCCATGCAATGACCCAGTGAGTGTTTAGTCAGTGAGTCAGGGTTTCGAACTCACAAAAGGATCGACCAACTTGATGAGGGAACCAACCTTGGGTCTTGAAATACCAGCTGATAGCTACTGATAGAAGATGCAACTTGAAACGGATTGCCAATTCCAGCCAATTTAGGTGTTCAAGTTCACGTCCTCTGTCTGTTTAACCAGACGGCTCACACATCCCGACAGAAGCAACTTTTCTGTCAAAAATGCAAGCATGTTTCTACCTTCCATTCCCGTATTCTCCTCGCAAAACAGCAGATTTTCTGTGTTCCCAGTGGTCTTGGCAGTGCCTTCTTTCTCGAGCGAGCGCCATCGGACTTCCATTTCGCGGCCAATGTCAAGGGCAATCTCGACTACATCACCTTTGTCTTCCTTCAAGGTCCTTGGGCACGCAAGTCAAAGTGAAGAATTCCCTTACAGGTCCCGTAGAGGAAGACACAGGTCCCGCAGAGCGAAAGCTGGAGAATCACAAGCAAAAGGAATATGGGCCGACGAATGTCAAGTTCACCGTGACCATGCACCGTGACCATGAGGGAGTTCTTCAGCCATTTACTTTAGCCGCTTCTTTTTGCTGGAGTTCTGGGAGTGCAACAGGTCAATGTCCTGGGTCACAGCCCCATACTGAACAGCTTATTCGACAGCTGTGCATCTTGAACGACCATGTTTCTGGGTGTTCAGTCTATCATAAGCTCCGGGGCCACGAGCCGAGCAACTCAATCCTTTGGTCCAAAAATGTTCTCAACTCTTCTGGCAGCACATCATAAAGCCTCAAAGGCGGACACCAACATACACAGCTCAAAACCTCAGTTTCTAACAGACATCAGGTTTTAAAGCATTGGAAGTCAACAAGTTTTTGTTGTAAACCGTCTTCCTGTGTTTAGGCGGGTCTCTCTTTCTCTCTCTACCTGGACGCTTCTGTATGCCCTGGCGTCTCTCGCTGGGTCCTATCTGAGCTTCAGTCTTTACCTCCCCTTCCCTCTCCCTGGCTCGCTCGCTCGCTTGCTGTGCCAAGGTCAAATGTCATCAGCTGCCCCCATGCATCCACCACACACACGCACTTAAGATTATGCGTACGGATTTGAATGCCACTCGCCACACGCCGGCCTGACTTAAAAAACCTGAGATACCAGGAGGACAAGTAGTAAGTTAAAGGCCATCGCTTTTAGGTTGGAGGCCATGGCAAGGCAGTTGGAGGCCAACGCCTCAGGTTGGAGGCCGTCGCTAGTAGGTGGTAGTATGCACAAGCAAAACAAAAGTGACAGCGAGCAGCTATTCAAAAGTTTAAACAGCAGGTACCGAAGTTTGCGTCCAAACTTCCATCCAGTCGATTTTCATGGCTTCATTGGCGTTACTAGGAAATCGACCGTCACGCCCCCTGCTGAAAAGGGAAACAATCCAAAAGGAACCTTGTGACTCCAAAGGTTACACACACACACCCGAAGGGAGGTATGTGTGGCCTCCATCCTGCCCGGAAAGGGGGTTATGCGAAGCACATGTGCACGCAAAGGAGACAGATGAAAATGAGAAAGGCGAGACAGACAAAAAGTGTGTGTGTGGTTGCCGATGAAGAAGAACCAAGTGAAGAGGGACAACCGATGAGCCAAACCTCATTGTAACAAGCCTGGGCCACCTGAACCTAGTTGTAAGTAGAATACGCGTGCGTGTATGTGTACGAGCTGAGGTCCGGACGAAAGTGCGCGCAAGAGAAGGAAAGGATGAGGATGAAGAAACATGAAGACAGAATGGGGGCCAATGAAAGGGGGAACCAAATGAAAGGGGTCAAGCCAATGACAGACCAAACCTCATTGAAAAACCTGTTGCAAAAGCCTGGTTTGCTTATAAAGTACGCTACGCGCGAGAGAAGAGGGGGAAAAGAGGAGGAAGAGAAGAAAAGGAGAGAAAGGAAGAAACAAAGGTCCCGACAGGTTCCAATGAACCTTCAACTTGCTTTGACCGCTATGGTCACCTTGTGCCGTGCCAAAAAGGCTGGCTGCTCAGACCGCTCCGGTCACGTAGAGGCATAAGCCAGCTTGGAATTCAATACTCCCCTGCAGATATACGTTGAACCCGAGGACAGAAAAGCTGGAAACAAACATGGCAGCTCCACCGGTTAAGAATGCAATCAGATCCTGGGGAATGCCTGCCTTTTTTTGGATTCTATTTTTTTTCTCAGGTTCTTCCATGTTTTGGCAAAACAAACATGGAATCTGCTTGCACAGGAAAAACATCTAAACCAATATTGAATTCTGGCCTCGCACAGGTGCCATTCTGGGGAATCCCCAATTTGATTTCGAAAGCATGAGCACAAACCAATTAAACGTAGAACTTCCAGACACCAGAGCCCTCGACCTTTCCACGTTTAATTGTTTTTGTGGCCCTGGGTTTGTTTTTTGCTGGGGATACTAATGTGGGCATGGTTTGCCCTCTGATGCACAAACATAGAACCTGCATTAGTGGTATCTAAATGCATTTACGCGTTGAAATGTGATAAACAAACGTTGCACCCAACTTTTTTTCAAAACGGATAGGACACGTATAACTGCGTGGGTGTAATTCGTCAAGTCTTGGCAGATAACTTTGGCATAAGCCTACTCCGCCCGCTGTGGGCACGTGCGTTTCCAAAGCAAGAGAAACAACGACAAACCCCTTTCGACGGGTCCACAGGGGCCACTCCTCGGGGTCACCCTGGGCTGGCATGAAGCCAGACACACTTAAGATTATGCGTACGGATGTGAATGCCACTCGCCACACGCCGGCCTGAGTTAAAAAGCCTGAGATACCAGGAGGACAAGTAGTAAGTTAAAGGCCATCGCTTTTAGGTTGGAGGCCATCGCAAGGCAGTTGGAGGCCAACGCCTCAGGTTGGAGGCCGTCGCTAGTAGGTGGTAGGTAGTATGCACAAGCAAAACAAAAGTGACAGCGAGCAGCTATTCAAAAGTTTAAACAGCAGGTACCGAAGTTTGCGTCCAAACTTCCATCCAGTCAATTTTCATAGCTTCATTGGCGTGACTAGGAAATCGACCGTCACGCCCCCTGCTGTAAAGGGAAAACAATCCAAAAAGGAACCTTGTGACTCCAAAGGTTACACACACACTCTCTCCCCCTCTCTCTCTCTCTCTCTGTTTCAAAGCCTAAGTCCAGTCGTCGTTCTCGCTGACATGAGGTCATCTACCTGGCACACGGCATAGCTTTTCGCCCAAGTTCTTGTCCTACTCTTTTCGTCCTTTTCCCTCATCCAGTCAGCCTCAAAATGGTGTCAAGGGGCTTTTGGATGTCGTCAGTGGCTCTTTCGCTGACTCTTGCATCCTGGGAGTCTCCTCCTGTTTGGCTTCTCTGCTTGCCCACACAGAGTTTCATTGACTCATCATCAAAGTAAAAGGGCTTCTTCACACCTCACCAGCCAGAAGGGCCATCCAGCTAGAGCAGCTAGAGGGTGTCGTTCACCCAGCAACCAACACTCCAATCAACAAAATTAACAATTGCTCTGGCTTCTGAAGCATTGGGCTCACTGGTGGTTCCACGCTGATCAAGTCTGCAAGAACGTGCCAAGATATTGTTCATCGAACCGGTGTTACCTGGGCATCACAACCTCGCGACCAGGAAAAGGGGCAACCAGTCACAGGAGTGCGGCAAAAGGTCGGTCGCCCTGAAAGTCTGAAAGGTCCCCCATGGTATTGAGATGTATTAGTATTGGGTGGTCAGTTTTTGATCCACGCTGACAACAGTTGGAAAAGGTCACATCGGAAAACGCAAGAGTCCGATATCAACGCCTGTTTGCGGGGATAATATATACCGTGTTGCTGCACCGATGTGCATGTTTGTCTGCTCATCGGTGTGTCGCTCAGACATCAGACTAATCCCACTATGCGTTCATTTGCTTTGGAAATGACCGGGCCGATGACCCCTTGACCAACCCCCCAGCCAAAGGGTTGTGGTCTGTTTTTCGTCTTCCAGAGGATCTTTGGGAGGTCTCCCTATTCTAATACACACACAAATAGTTATTCCAAGTACCATGTCCAGTTCGATTTACGAGTACCCTTTGAAACCTTCGGGCTGTCGTTGCTGCAGGTGCCCATTGTCCGTGGGTAAAACGACCAATTGCGATTCGTGGCGACCCAACAGGGTGGTCTCTGGGACAACCTGAAGTCTGAAGTCTGCGGCAACCTGAAGCCTGGAACAACCGTGTGCATTCGGTCTCCTGAAGTCTCTTGAAGTATTGTCCGGACACACGTTGCGATCGAGATTCGCAGACCGAATGCACCCAAATGCTGTCCAGGCCATGCTCGATATAGATCCAACTGTTCTGTGCAATTCGCTCTGAATTTGAAGGCACCTGCAATTCGGCGAACGCAGGCGAATCCGCTCTGAAACATATCGCCTGGCCACCTGAAAAAAAGAAAACGGCGGATTCAAAATTCAACCCTGGGCAAAGTTGGCTTGGGGGGGCGCGCCCATTTCCATGTGAAAGTGACACCACGCCATGGTAGTTAACTTACAGCAATTGATATTCACATACATATACATATACATATATACATATACAAATACATACATGTATACATATATATTAATATATTCACACAACTATATAAATTCGACGGCCAACACCAGCGGTCACAAAAAAAGTCCAGCAGTCAGAGTTGCTTCGAGTTGTTTCGACCATCATCCTCCTCTCGGGTTTTCCAGACTGAGAAAACCTGTTGAACAAGGTAGGTATGCTCTGTGTACTCTGTGGCCTAGGTGTTCTCTCGTTCGATGTTTCAAAAACATGGCGTGTCCAACCCTGCGATTCTGTAGGAATGAACGGTTCACATGGACGGTCCACAACTGTTGTCTGATGCGTGCTATATGAACTGGCCGTGAGATAGAGTGATATAGATGAAACTGAAAGCTGGCAAATTCCCTATCAACCCCCACCTCACCTCTCCACAAAGGGTCTTCATGAGCGGCTTAATTTGCATTGAGGAACTCAACGGGGCCCAGGCCCGCGCCTTTTTCGAGTTTTGGCGTAAGCTCCAAAGCGATGGCAAGTAGACCTGCAGCAACTTCTGCCTGCATGTGCTCGGAGCACATGTCGACAAAGGGACAAAGGTGGTGGCTGGGATGCTCTTCTGAAAGGACCGATGCAATTTGTGAAAGGGCATAATGTAGACTCTTGATTAATAAACCCCCCTCATGAAGAGGATATCCAATTGAAACGGTGGCTTATCACTCAAGAGTCTACATTACAGCCCAAAGTAGAAGCAGCGAATGACATCAGCACACCAGCTAGCACCTTCCTGACAACCTCTTGGCTCATGTAACGTTGTCGCGTTGGGGTACTCTCTGCATGCAGCAAACCCGGGGATGTGGAAGGCTACCTATGTCAAGCTGCACAGCACGAAAACTCAAAGCTATTCCCACCTACCTGGTGGTGTTGGGGCTTTGTGTAAAATCTGTTTGTGTATAACGGCAAACCGTTGGTATAGAAAGTTCTCACCTCAACCGCTCTTGAAATTGCATCTACAAGTGTAGGGACCCCAACCAATTTGGCTTGAGTCTATTTCAACCTTTTCCGAGCATGTTTTAAGGGGTATCTTTGCTTGAAGGCACGTGTATATGTTTCCTCTAAGCAAGACCATGGTGGATGCGCAGGTTGACCATTCTGCCTATTCTTGGTGTGGTTTCTCCCCACTCTCCTTCTCTGACTAAAACAGTTTGGGGTGAGAACCTGTCTTGGCTCACTCGAGTTTCTCTAGCCCTGTCACCATGCTTGGCCAGAATCCGCCTCAACTACACCTGCAGCAAGCCTCAAGTTCTCTCCTACCTGGTGCAATCCATACCAAAGGTTCATAAAGTGCACTCAAAAAATATGTGATGATTCTTTGGGCGCTTGGGCGGACTACCCAAAGCAAGCATGATGTAGTGAGTCCCCATGACCTCAGACTTATGCCCTGTTACAGCCTCAGATTGCCAGAGATCAAGACCCTTGGCCTCTAGTGCTGGTTCAACTTTCGCGGGAGGTTCTGATTTTGAAGATGAGGAATCAGCTTCCATCAAGGCCTTGGCTCACCCACATGTCCAGTGGTTGCATGCTGGCGGACCAAAATGTACAGTATTAGATGATATTGGAATTCACCAATCAGCAAAGGGTTGGGAAACTCTCTGTAGCTCCTTGGCTCCCTGTTGAAGCGGAATATGGATCTCCTTAGCTACTTCCTGAGCACCAGCTAGCAAATGTCCAATCAGTTGAGTTGGCAGTTCCCAACTTCTCACAGCCGAAAGGCGAGGCAGCAAAGCCTATTTGTGGAAGCCTTCTAGAGAAGCGTATTTGCGCGTGAAGCCGCTATACTCATCTGCCAAGTTGGCGGGTGAAGGAAACACCATTTCAACAGAGCAAGCACCGTCTCAACAGAGCGCCGATGGCCCACGTGGATTCTCAAGTCCCATCTCAAGCTGATCCAAGAGGCCTGTAGCCGACGGATCATGGGAGAGCTATCGGCGCTTCGTGCGTTCTTCATTTCTTTGGCCAAGTGCGGGTTGTAAGTCTCGAAGAGCTCCGGGAGCTCGACCTAAGGCACTCCGAGTTGCACTGATTTGTGCCGCTTGATAGCTGGAAGATCAGAACTATACTCTTGGAGTGTCTTACTAGTAGCAGTGCATCACTACTAGTAGCGATGCACTTGGAAGCTGAGTGTCTCAATGAAAAACGGAAAGGTTATAGGTCTTCACAAAGTCCTCACAGTCGTAACACCTGCTACTCGCACCAAGTCCTGAAATGGATGTTTCAAATAGCTGGGCAGCTTCCTGATTAGGGGAGATGACCATCGTGCAAAGTATCATGTATCCTTGCACAGGATTCACAATCAATCTTAAACAGTAGCATAAGCAAAATGTTGTGTCAGTCATTGATGGCATAAACTTTCTATCAACACCTCCACCACATCATCTTCTGAAGGAACCACAAGCATGCAAAGCCAAAGTACCGGACACTGTCGTCTTCCACTTACCTGCTCCCAGGCAATTGCGCAATCCAACGTGTGGGAGAGCGTCACGCCGTAGACATGCTGAAGAACATCTGCAAGTCCACTGGATTGGTGAACAATCTTCAAGTTCTCCTGGCCAAACCCGTACCCCTTTGGTGGTTGCCTATGGCCTTGGAAGGGGCAAGGATGGCGATACCACCAGCAGAGACGTGCTCGCCCACACAAGTGCCAACAGCGTGTTTGAAAATATATGGAAACATGTGCTCGAAAATGAATTCAACCCAGTCCACTCTCACCGGACTACCACCTTCATCCGAGTGACATGGTGACGCCACCGTCTCCTGGCTTTCAAGCACTTCTGTGAGGACGTGCAAAGGCCCTGACTTCTGGAAGAGAGCCTTTCGCGACGGTCTTCCCTTACCTGCCAGCTCTTGCAGGTCAAAGACCAGCTGTTCTTCCTTGTCCTCGAAGACGAGCTGCACCAAGGAGAGAAGGAACCCAGGCGGAAAGACGAAAGGTTTGGTGGAGTTTCATGTCTCAACACATGAGTCTGCCACTTCTGATCGTACTTAAGGTGCCTATGGTCCATGGTAGCCCTTTGAAACAATCACCCAGTTTTGTACCTATAACTCCAACATACTCCAACCAAATCCTCCGGTTTGACCCTCCAAACTTGCCCCCAAATCCTCAAAGACACTATCAAGTATGTGGACCAGCACCTACTCAACCTTGTTCCAATGTAAACCCACGAGACCCGACAACATACTGCTTGAGCGGGTCACTGTGCCTGTTTCGAAACATGGGCGAGCACGATGGAAAGAGATGAAACTAAGGAAAAGACCCAACTACGCAATTGCGAATCAGGAGGTAGGGAGATCCAAAAGCTATGCTCGCTGAAAGCACCCCTGCGAGACGATCCAGCGGTCAAAAGCGATGCCGGACAAGGCACCGAGGAAGCACACACAGCGAGGTACTTGATGTGTCCATCTCGCAGCAGAGAACCACACGCTGAAACGCCAACAACGTCACCATGTGCACATTGCCATGACTTAAGCCTCTGTCTGGCATCTTTGGGGTCGCAAATGCGCTGAGTCTCTTCCTCCGATTCGTCCTCGAGGTCATTGCTCCTCTCCTCAGCACTCGAAGGACACAATGTTCACGTTCACATCTTTGCACGCAAACGTTCCCGTGCAAAGACTACACGGCCAGGAACACTCCCAATGTCCAATTTGACTCAATTTGACAGCACTATATTTACAGTATATGTCACGTCACGTCTTCTATATTCATACATTCTATACAAGATGTTCTTCAGGGCCGTCGCGGCACAATGTTTTGCACTGGAATTGCACATCCTAAGAGTCAAGTGTCAACAAGCAAGCTGCAATTGAGATTCCTCTATTAATCTAATAAAGCAGGTCGGATATTCATCAGTCCGCTAATTTTGCTGCTCACCCTGAAAGGGTGCCATATTTTGTTTCGTTTATTTTGGACTGGCGAGACACGCTTCAACTCTCACTCAAATGGTTTAACACCAGCGCTGCAAATGAAAAATGGTCAACCCATGCATCTTCAACTATTAACATGGAAAGATCTGTGTCGGTAGGCTTTCTTGTTTCCTGTTGCCCAACTGTGTTCCTAAAGTTTGAAGGACCAACAAGGAAACCTACCTCTCTTGGTATCATGGTGTACCTCTCACACGCTAGACGAGCGAGGCGTCCAGACATCCAGACTTGGTGAAATCAAAAGAACGTTTCTCCACTCATACAGCCTGCTCAAGCCGTTCACCCAACAAATTCAATTTGTTCGTGTACTGCCTAGCCTACCTTTGAAGGTAGCATGTCAGCTGTCAACTACCAGCTGGCAATTGTCTCATTGCACTCACGACTTCGCCCACACAGAAAAAGAATAACACGTCCATTGCCACATCACCAGAAACCTCCACGCCTAACAGGTCATCCCAACATAATATTGCAGCTGATTCCGAGAACTCAAGTGCTCAACAACACCAGTGAAACCTGTTGTATACATTCATGATTCATAATTGTTCTTCCCTTGGCGAGAACCTCTGGGTTGCACTTTCACAGGTAACCTCCACTCACGAGCCCAGCCACCTCTTCCACAGCCGATGCACCATCTGAAAGGCCCAAGTACTGCTGCCACTTCTCCTGAAGCAATCCGATGGCCTGTCCGGTGGTACTGAATATGATTGGTGCAACGAATCCACTCTACCAAAACAAAACACGGACCGTGTCCTGTTTTGTATTAACACCCCTTCTTAGAGACCTGCATGTTGCCCTGGCCTTTGGGAGCACCTCTTTGCTTGTGTTCTAAAGACGTGACAGTCCCTGCATAAAACATGCAACGGTTGCATAAATGTTTAGCACGTTTCTGGATACCGGAAGTTCCTTCTGATCTCCAAAACTGAGGCACGTTGCAACGCCAATGACTGCAAACCGCTGCCCTCCTGGTTCTGGTTCTTCTTGCCAAGCTTAAAGCGAACAAAATTATCATCCATGTATGCCAGCTTCACTTTCCAAGATTCAACTTTGTTCTTCTGGCAATACGCAACCTCGCAACTGGAATGACAACAATGGATAGAATCAGAATACGAATGCATCTGATACTTGCTGTCACAAGCGCTATGAGTAGACGATTTCAGTCCTACGGGCGAGTTTTCCAGCTAGCACATGAGCGAGAATACTGTTCTTGCTCCGGCTTCGCTTATGCAACATTGCATTTTGGAGTGCTAATGAAAGTTCACCACAGCAACAAAAACACCAAAACTCAGTGTTGGTACTGCAGTGCTGGTCCAGAACAAACTTGCCGTGCAGTCAGAGGAAAAACATGATACAACTTTGCTAAGAACCCTGAAGGAGCGACGGGCAAACCGATCATCTACGGGCAAATCAGGTGCATCAAAGGAGCGACGTTTCTCAAAAAGTCAGATCGGCTCTCCTCCAAGTGGCTCTTCCCGATCCTTTCCAAGATCTCGTCTGTCTGCTGTGAGCGATTTAAGGAGGCCAGAATACGAAGAGAATCATCGCTAAAGCTGTCCAAACGTTGGTGCTGGGAGGAATCGATCCTGCAAGCTGGACTGCAAGGCTCAAGGCAAACCTTGGGAGTTGGGACAAGACTCCAAGGGCTTGCTGGAGCACTTGCTGAACCCCACTCACTCCTGGGTAGAATCGGAAGCTGGAAATGACCAATAATCAGAAGGGAAAGGTTGAAAGGTATGTAAAAGGCAACGCTTCTGATTGCCGAATCCTAATCACTGAATGATGCAAGTCTTGTCTCACATCAGGAAGAAATGTCGCAAAGAGTCATGATAATGACATGCACCAACCTCGCAATATTATCCTCAACCCCTCACCTCCTTGCCAGAGTAACTCACGTGTGTTTGCTTTTGGCACCTGTTGGCGAAAACCACCCTCGCGCACCGTCCTCCTTTTCATCAGTTTGTCACGACTTAGAAAGTCTTCCTTGAAAAGATCACGTGGTGAGCCATCATTATCCAACCACTTCTGGAGTTCCTCAATGGCAACGGGAAGATCAGCAGGCGGGCAATTGTAGAGATCCAGAAGCTGCTTGTCGTCAATGCGCGAAAAGAATCCGGGCGGTGCTTCCTCTCATTTGTTCAATCAAACTGCAAGAAACGGTGAATCACTGAAAACATGTCAAAACCAGGAAACCAAGCGAGGCTGTACTGCTTTTGGACAAGTGAGTCCTCCTCCATCAGAGCCTCAAGTTCATGGAGGATGTCTCTTCGCGGCTTGGACAACAGGCGGGTTCCAAACGTCTCTGAGCCCATCATACTTTGAAGAAACTCCGGCTGATTGTCTTGCTTGCGCTGCCCGAGCCAGAAGAGCTCTGAATCAGATAGCTCATATGTATCCTAACTCGGCTGCGGAAGGCTGCTTCGGCGGGTTGAAGAAGTTGAACAAAGATCTGGTCTCATGGCAACATGGAACTTGTGCCCTTACAAAGACATGTCTTTGTGGTCAAGCATGGTGGAAGTCGGAAGACACAAGAGTTTCTGACACACCAAAAACATGTTCTGCGGAGAAGCAGAGGTCCTGGCCCAAGCCTAGGGTTGTGTCTTTTGATGTATATTCTGGCTTTCTGGGATCAGATTGTTTTGGTTAGGGTTTCCCAATATTGTTTCAACAGCTGCATGAGATGCCTCTTCAAGTCTTAATCAAGGTTGTCTCAACTGTCTACTTGTGGACCAACGAGCTTCTTCATGCAGCCTTGGATTTATCTGCTTCTTGAGGAAATCTTTTCGCGATGGATACGGCACTCCTCACAAGCTTGCACATGCATAAGTCGCCGACTTATAGCCTTTACCTAAGACACTCATTGTTGCAGGTTTCGGCATTTACCAAGGATGGGGCATGGATGAAAAGGCGTGGCCTCTTGACCAGCCTTGAGGATCCTGATTTGCATTGGTGAGCTTTGTTGGAAATGATTCAACCTTTCAGAACCCTCTGACGGATTCTGATTCGACTCTTTCAGCTGTTTGCCTACCTGCCGTTCATAGCCACTCAACAAGCCATAATAAAATGCCTAATCCAAACGAACACACAAAGTTTCCAACATCTTCTCTGATCGTGGCAAGGTCTTCCACAATGGGTGCATTGCCCCCATCAAACAAGAAGATTGGCTCATAGGACCCATCAACATAGTATTGCTGCAAAGTGACCAAAATCAGGTAAGAGATTTTGGCACAACAAGAAGATCGTCTCAAAATGAGGGACACCCAAGGTCTATGACATGAGGTTCGCAAGATTCCTGTTGAGACAAACCTATGTATTCAATTGTCTTCATATTCTCACATGGCTGTGGGGTCAAAACCCCAGCACCGTGGTGAACCCCTGAACATGAACAGAAGCCTTTTTCAGGGATGTCAACCTCTCACGGTTTGGTGAGGGAGGTGCCATGACCCATGCCCACAGATTCCAGCATCTGCTCACGTTGTGCTCTCCCGTCCTGGGAGCCATGGGCGTTCGCTTGCCGCTCTCAAGTAGCAGCGTGCGGAACGCTGCCGTCGCAACGGACGTGTCTGTGTGCGGGAACATACCAAGCAGCTTGCAAGGCCCAGAGTAGAGGAAAGCGCGGTGCCGGTGTAAGTGGAAGAAAATCCTCGTCTCTTCTAAGCTGAGTCTGTCCCTCTGTCCCCCTCTCTCTCTTTCTCTCTCTCTCTCTCTCTCTCTCTCTCTCCCACTCCCTCTCCCTCCTCCTCTTTCTCTCCCCCTTTTTTCCATGCCCCTATCTCCCTTAACAATCACATACGACATATAGCGGATGAACAAAGTTGAAAGTATATATATATATAGATGGAGGGTGCACTGAAACATGGATTTATCGAATGCATCGCTTTAACCGTTCAACAATTCCTGTGTCCAACCATTTGCCAAACCAAACACATTGTCCAGCCATTTGAGCATATATTTCTTTCAGCTCACAAACCATCCATCCAAGTCGCGGTTCCCTTGTCGGGTTGGCCCAACGCCAGCTGACCCAGAGATGCGGGCGTGTACGATGTTCGGTCGGCCTGGGTGGTTGATGGGTGCGTCTCAAAGTAGGAAGAACACCCCAAAAACATCCAAAAGCCAAAGGGTTAAGCATGGGTAAGGCGACCAACAAAAAATCAAGCGACCCCACCTATCCCCGCCCCACCCCACCCCATTGTCATTGCTTGGGGGAAGTCTCTTCACAATGCAGGCTGCTGAGATGAACGTCCATGGATGCCATGCTCCGCAATCCGGGCGACCGAAAGGGGCGGTGAGCGTACTGAGCCGATGCAGAAGCGCTGGAACTGTGTGACAGAGTGCAAAAATGAATCTGTCTCAAAGACAGGGAACTTCTGGGAACCTAGTCAGGCTGTCCCTCAACATCCCTAGTCTAGGAGCAAGGACGCTACTAGGGGCTCCTGGCCTTACTACTAGGAGCAAGGACGCTACTAGGAGCGCAAAGTCTAATTTTATCGCGGCGCCGCACCAGTCCACGGCGCAGCGCCCCACCTCGCCCTGCCGCTCCGGCCAAATCTCGAGCTCCAAGGGCTCGGTGGCGTCACCTGCAGCACGGGGTCTCCATGAGCCGAAGGAGTCTGAGAAGATAGTGGTCTTAATGTCATAAGGGAACAGCCACATGTCCAGAATTTTCTTGGGGGTATTGATATTGGTGTTCAACTGTAGGGGCCTCTGCGATCTTTTTCTTCACATTCAGCTTCTATGTCTTCTAGTGCGGAGAGGCCTGCTGTTGTCCAGTTGCAAGTCTAGCTCCTTTGTACTTGTTTGGAACTCTCTATAACTTGCTGCATTGGAGGACCGCCTGATATTTCCACAAGTCCACCTATGCAAACCTCTTGAACCACCGGCCCCAGCTCTGTTAGAGCAAAACAGCTAACAACTGCGGGCCTAGGCATTTTGTCGCCCTTCTCGCAAGATCTTCAGGTAGTTCCAGCCTTGGGCACATCCCAAAGATGATCATTTGGTAGCCAGGCACCATTTAGGGGACAACAGCTTCCACACCCACACCTGCAGGAATCTGTTCATGGACGTCCAGAGTCTAGCGGCCTGGAGCGGTATCCAAACAGCACAGAACTTGGTTATCAGCGTTCATCAACATGGACAGATATGCCTAGCATAACCTGGCACCCCCCAACCAGTTCTGTAGGTTTGCCTCGCATGTTGCAGGAAGAGAGTGTCCACCCGTACCGTGCTCACCCGTAGGCTTGCTCAGTCGTAGCTGGCGCGATACAGTCGTCATCAGTCGAAGTTCCTGACCTTCCTGGGCTTTCTTTCCCAATCGAACGACTCCAAAGTGACTCCAAAGCTCCTGTGTGAATAAGTCGGAAAGATTGCCCTGCATCCAGGGGGTCATTCTCAGGATCCCTGTTAGTCTGCACGGGCGTATATATATATATATATCATTATATATCTGTGGAGAAAGCAAAGAAGCAAAATCCAAAGTCTGACTGCCAAAGAATGGTTGATACTACCAAAGACTTGTCAATCGTCTTCCAAACTCTGAGGGGCCCAACGACTCAGACTCCTAAACTCCTCCATCACTTCTCACTCACTCGGCTCCGTAGCAGGCCGCGAAAAAAGCATTCCAGCTTGGCACCCAAACACATACTGACAGTCCAAAGGCCTGAGCGGAACGGGTCGGTCCTGACCACAAGTTGCGGACCCTACCTCATTCTTCGGACCGCCCGAGGCCGCGGGACGGATGTGCATCACAGCATTGAAAAGCGGATCTTGAGATCCCTACCGTGCACGGTCTGTCACCCAAAACGAGACCACCCAAAGGAGCCGATGGTGTCCCGAAGACTCGGCTAAAGCGTCAAAACATGAAGATCCCCAGCACTCCGCGCTTCTCTTCAGACCCCCTTTTTGGCTCAGCCTTGGACCTACAGCCACTCTACGTACTACTTGACAGGGTGAGAAATTGGCCCGTCTGGAGACATCATATGAGCAAAGAATGAGAGGCAAAGGTCCGACCTTCGGATTCAGATTCCAAAATAATCTAAAATATAGATAGGAACAGTCTTGACGGTGTCCAACAAATTATACATCTCAGCCGACCCAGTCCGCCCGGAGACGGCAGTTCGCAGTCCATCACTGAACACACAAAAGCTGGACACATTGAAGCAACAATATAAATATGAACATAAATATATATGTATATGTATATGTACCCTGTGAGACGGGGAGGACAAACCCCTCCCATAAACAAGCACACTGGTGTCCGGTATCTATAGGTTGTTTTCTGGCAAGGTGGGAAAAAGAGTCAAAGGATTATCCGTCTATTTTGGAGGCAGTGTGAGCAGGAGCTATTGCACTGATCAGAAAAAATGCAAATATATTTATATATATATATATTAGAAATATCAACTTGCCAGTAACATCTCCAAACATGGCAAATCGTGGTGTGAGAGTTCCTTTGTACAAAGCTGCGGACCCCTCGTCACCCGTAGATAGAGCAATTTCAGAAACAATATTCAGAACCCCCACATCTGCTGTCAATGAGCACAATTGCCAAATAAGCCGTTTCACTCTATGGAAGCAAGTTTGCAAAGCAACCTCCACGCACAAACTTACCAGGACTCAATGGATACAAAAGGACAAACAACCGAAGCAGGCGGCGATCCTGGTCGATGCGAGCAGCGGCTGGCTCCGGATTGGTCTAATAAAACGCCGGGAGCTAGTCCGTCCATGATGAGCATCTGGTGCGCCGAGAGCCTTCCTTCGCCTTCTTGTTGGGGTGGCGATTCCATGATTGACTGTTTGGATATTCAAGATTAAAAAGCAATCAATAGACAATTTGTCCAGTTCCCAAACAAGGGCAAGTTGCAAAGTATATTGGAAAAGTGAATCCCATCTGAAAAACAAGTCTTGAAAACCACTAGCAGCAATAGAATCCCATCTTTTGATTTATTTGGGAACCGCTCAAATTCATCCTCGCAACTCTAACTCCACCGTGTGACCTTGTTTTCGGCCGTGACCTTGTTTTGTGGCATTCCAAAAGCCTTTGTAGACACCACGACCATGAGGGAGTAGTATTATTTTGAGGAAGCACCCGCAAAGACATACAACGACATACCCTCCTTTTGCACTTCTTCAGCCTTTGGTCTAGCCTAGCCTACTACAACCAGTACCAAGACATACCAAGACATACAAAGACCAGGAGCCGTGGTGAATGCAAACGACACAATTCATCTAAGAGAAGTCTCTCCGGACAACCAAACAAAGCACATCCTGGATGCTTCCTTGATCTGGTGGAATTGCATGCAATAGTTCACCAACACATTCAACTGGACCCCCCAGAGTCAAGAGTCCCTTGTGAATTCCCCAAACCTGAAGATCGCTCTGCTTCAACGTGATCTGAGATCCCTACGGAAATGGACCAGCTCTCAGCAAAATCAGATCGAAAAAAAACGGTGAAAACACGCCTCGCACGACGTGATTGGCGTTCGCGCGCGGTCGATCTCGTGAAGACCTGCTGTGGCTGCTACTTACTCCCGCCATGCGCACGCTCCAGCCTCCCGCGAAGGAGAAAGTGCGTGGCAAATGCAGTGAGAAAGTCTTGGGAGAAGTGGCTAGGATAGATCAAGGGAAGTGGAGGGCAGCTTCATGAAACCAGGTCATATGAGGACCACGCATTCCCACACATTCATGAATGGAGTCATGGGTGTGGTCAAATACACAGAATGAAGACCAATTTTGGAGCTCCAACGGGTGGGTTCAATGGGTACCCACGCTGTAGGAAATCAAGTGATGTTAATTTTAAAGCTCCTCTTGCTCCACAAAGAACTCACTGGACCAAGCAAGCTCCATGTTTACTGTTGTTTTTAAAACAAACGGTGTTTCCGAGAGGCATACACCCTGGAAGACTAGATAGACCGATAGACCCCCTACAAATCGATGAACGACGGTCGAAAATGAACTGTTCCCTCAGCCAGTGCATGGTTTGAATTTGGTCGCAAGTGATTGGTGCGTGCATGTCCATCTGGAAGAAACCTAATTTGTTTAAGCCAGTGAATGCCCGTCATGAGCCATGAGTGGTGGACATTGCCTGTTTTGGCCTGTCACTAGGAGCTTCACGAGGTCAGTTCCTGACCTGTACTAATAGCTTCTTCGAACTAGTAGTAATGCCCTTAGCTACGTTCGTAGCTTCTTGCTCCGTTCGCAGCGATGCCCTTGTTACTCGTTTCGATGCCCTTGTTCGTAGCTTCGTCGCATGACACCTCCGGCCGAACTCCGGAGACGTTCGAGCCGTCGCACGCACCGGAGAGAACACACCTCAGGCATGTTCTCGAGCAAATGTTGCGCGGCCTTGTTGTAATCCCTGCGCAGCACGTTGACAGGCAGATCCCGGTGATGTCGTTGACAAGTCGAGGATGTGAAAAGATGTGAAAAGCAAAGTTCTTGCAGAAACACGAGTGAACTCTTGGTACTTGCAGAAATTCTGGTGCATGTTTGAAGGGCTCTTCTTTCTATTTATATAGGGATCACGAGACACGGACGGTGAAGAGAGATCGAAGGCAATGCCCTCACTTTAAAAAGTTTTAAAGGAATCGTTATAAATTTGAGACCTGAGACCTCTGAGGCTACTTGAAGACTTTGTTGCTAGACCTGAGCTTGGTGATGAACATGTCCGAGCAAGTATGTAGGAAACGGCAACCTCATGCACGTAGCAATCGCTGTTGTTGAAGCTTCGCATTGTTTGGGCAAAAAAGGCACCAGCCGGTCATGTTCGGTCCCGAGTGCTGAGCATGACCGCTCCCTGAGCATTCGTGGGACGCTCCGACTGCAAAATGAACGTGTTGAAGGCCTGATGTCCCGGTCACCAGAAAAAATAAAGGGAAAAAAAACGGATAGCTGAGGGCAAGCCCAGCTCGGGGCGGAGAGCAAGGTTCGGCTGGCACACGGACGATTGACTTGACCCTAACAGTTGTGAAGGCCAACAATGGATATGGCCCAAAAATGGCCCCAAGACCAAATACATGTTCAAATGAATGATGCATGCATTTACGTTCATCAACGACAAGGCCATGGACTCATTGTATTACGGATGCAGGAGACGCCAGACAACCCCTCTCCTGGCCTAAATCGATCAAAGCCCAGATGCACGACGCCTGCAGTTGAACTGTGGGCGTCCATGACACCCACACTCAGCAACCACCCATCTACAGCCGGTGTTAGGAGGGGAGTTTTGCTTTGACACCCGCACTCAGTTGC